CAATTACTCAATTATTTGTTCTGAAAATATAAATGCAAAACATTATTCAATTTCCTGAAATACTCATTGAATGGGTGTAAGCTAAGGCAATGGTTAAATAAATGTTTGTGTTGATATTTTTAAATGTATAATTGCAAATATGTATACCATAATGCACTTTAAATCCTCTGCCAGCAATGGATTCATCAGATTTGAAAACAATGTGCACTCCATTTCTCGAAGAAAATATAGCTTGAGGCAGAACACCCCCACACACTAGACTCAGCAATGGAGCGCTAGAACTGGTACCATCATAGACTTTAATACTGTCATAAGGACAGGTGGAGCCACCCTCCATGTCAATGTCCAGGAAACTGAAACAGTTTAAATAGATTGGCTGAATTATCTTTGAAGTAGAAATAATGATTTAAATAAGCTAAATAATAACACAATAGATAACGTGAACTTATTTATAAACATAAGTTCTGTTTACTTTATTCATTGATTAGAGTAAAAACAAAAAGGGTTTGTTTTAATTTATAAAGAGTTTATACAGTTGATTTCTTCAATTTAAATGTTATAAAATTGAAAAAAAGTATCAGATTCAAGTAAATGTTTTGAATTATTGAGTAGTTGATGTTATAAACAAAGGACAAAGTGGCCTAGCGGTAGGGAGCTGGACTGCTAACCGTAAGTCTTAAGTTTAAATCCAGTTTCAAGTAAGTAGACCGTCCCTGAGTCCACCCAGTTCAGATGGGTACCTAACTAACGTTAGGTAAGTAAAGACGGCTGGGCATAGTGCTGACCACACTATCCCTTCATATGCAGAGGTCACAGAAACAAGAGAACTCTACTTCACTTGCTCTTAAGTCCGTCATGTTCGAAAGGGAACTTTACTTTTGTATTTATGTTATAAAAATTATAATATACCTTATTGCAGTGAAAGTCTTGATAGGTATCGTCCAGTAACAGGTAGTGTTGGCGCCATATTTCTGTGGATATCCGGGGCTGACAATAAGACCTGAGCTGCTGGTTACTGTTGTGTTACAGGCTGAGGGTAAGGCACAATCAACATTAAAAAGCTTGTTTAAAACATAAATTTTTTAACACTTAAATGCTACAAAATTTTAAAATTCAATGTGTTTTGCTAATCTTCAATTCTAAATAACTTTACTTAATTTTCACTCTCGAAAAACATTACCATTGATTTCAAGACATTTTGTGCCAGAAATTGTATCCAGCCTCATCCATTCAGGACAAACACATTTCTCAACTCGTGGATTCACTGAAACTATCTGGCAACTGTGTGAACACTGTAGAGTTTTACACTGACCTGGAAAAAAGGATTATACATTTTTAAATGAATAAAATATAACTCCTTCTAAATCAATTACAACCTAGCCAAAATCCACACTATTTTATTAATGTATTAATTCTATAGATAAAAAAAATCAAAAATTTATAACATCAGTACGGTGGCCGGAAAGAACCGCAACGGAAAAAAGCGCAACGGAAAAAAGCGCAAATCAAAAAGCGCAACGGAAATAAGCGCACACGGAAAAAAGCGCAAAGAGAAAAAAGCGCACACAGAAAAAAGCGCAAAGAGAAAAAAGCGCAAACGGAAAAAAGCGCAAAGAGAAAAAAGCGCACACAGAAAAAAGCGCAAACAGAAAAAAGCGCAAACGGAAAAAAGCGCAAAGAGAAAAAAGCGCACACGGAAAAAAGCGCAAAGAGAAAAAAGCGCAAACAGAAAAAAGCGCAAAGAGAAAAAAGCGCACACAGAAAAAAGCGCAAACAGAAAAAAGCGCAAACGGAAAAAAGCGCAAAGAGAAAAAAGCGCAAACGGAAAAAAGCGCAAACAGAAAAAAGCGCACACGGAAAAAAGCGCAAACGGAAAAAAGCGCAAACGGAAAAAAGCGCAAACAGAAAAAAGCGCAAACGGAAAAAAGCGCAAACAGAAAAAAGCGCACACAGAAAAAAGCGCAAACAGAAAAAAGCGCAAACGGAAAAAAGCGCAAACAGAAAAAAGCGCACACAGAAAAAAGCGCAAACGGAAAAAAGCGCAAACAGAAACAGAAAAATGCGCAACCAGAAAAAACACAACGAAAAATGTGCAAAAGAGAAATTTAGCACAAAGACCATATGGACTAGATGACACATTTATACATGACTGTTAGGGCTGCTGTGAGAGTGTCGTGTTTGATCACGTGATCTACTACCATTTAAAGCGTACCACTCACCCACACATCCATCCACCCACCCATCCATCCACCCACCCACACATCCATCCACCCACCGACACATCCACCCACCCACCCACCCACACATCCACCCACCCATCCACACATCCACCCACCCACCCACACACCCATCCATCCACCCACCCACACATCCACCCACCCATCCACACATCCACCCACCCATCCACACATCCACCCACCCACCCACACCCCCATCCATCCACCCACCCACACATCCATCCACCCACCCACACATCCATCCACCCACCCACACATCCATCCACCACCCACACATCCATCCACCCACCCACACTGCATATAAGTATTCGCATAGATTTAGAGTAGCGTCCCTTTTGTTTACATGTTTTCATTACCCTACAAACAAAAGTCTATTTTAGTTATATTGAGATTAAAGAATGTAAATAAATAGTATACACAATTCTGTAGAATAGGAACGATTGGGAGGGAAGTGACATTTAGCGCAGTAAATTTAGAGGTTAGGTAGGGTATAATAAATGGTGGGGTTAGGAAAGTTAAGGGGTCCATTCTCTAATAGGCAATCTTTGTCTCTTTCGTACTTTCGTGTTGGTTTATTGTCGAACCTGTCCTCGCCTCACATCACAACAGTTGGGTGACGCTTACCGTGTAATGTTAAAATAAATAGCATGTAATTGAGTTAGTTCGAAGTGAGTTTTCATACAAGCCCAACGCACTAATTAAGGTTGTCGCAAAATGTAACATATATGTAACATATGTCAATGATGTCAATGAATTTTCATTAAAAAAAGATGTCTATTACAGTTTACGAAGCTTACGAACTTCGCCGATACTTTTTTGGTGGGTAGTTTGGTAAGTATGTAGGCGGGTAGGTGGGTAAGTGGGTAGGTGGATAAGTGGGTAGGTGGGTAGTTAGGTAGGTAGGTGGGTAGGTGGGTAGTAGGTAGGTAGGTGCGTCATGATGTGAAAAAATATTAAATACAAAATTGTTATTTTGGTGCGAATGAATGTTGTTACGAGAGATATGACGAATGCATGTTTGATGACGCGGATGAAAGAGAGTGAAGTTTTGCCATAGGAACGGGTTGTTATAGTATGCAAGCTAGGTAGTTCGGACTAGGGAGAATGTGAAAGATACTTCGTGTAATGTCGATAGTTTTATGTTTATACGAGAATAGTAGTTGAATAATTATTGACCAAGAAAATAATAGGCATTGTGTAAAGTGATTATCGCCTGTATCGTGGTGATGGGAATGCAGATGGTAGTGGTACGCTTTAAATGGTAGTAGATTACGTGATCAAACACGACACTCTCACAGCAGCCCTAACAGTCATGTATAAATGTGTCATCTAGTCCATATGGTCTTTGTGCTAAATTTCTCTTTTGCACATTTTTCGTTGTGTTTTTTCTGGTTGCGCATTTTTCTGTTTCTGTTTGCGCTTTTTTCCGTTTGCGCTTTTTTCTGTGTGCGCTTTTTTCTGTTTGCGCTTTTTTCCGTTTGCGCTTTTTTCTGTTTGCGCTTTTTTCTGTGTGCGCTTTTTTCTGTTTGCGCTTTTTTCCGTTTGCGCTTTTTTCTGTTTGCGCTTTTTTCCGTTTGCGCTTTTTTCCGTTTGCGCTTTTTTCCGTGTGCGCTTTTTTCTGTTTGCGCTTTTTTCCGTTTGCGCTTTTTTCTCTTTGCGCTTTTTTCCGTTTGCGCTTTTTTCTGTTTGCGCTTTTTTCTGTGTGCGCTTTTTTCTCTTTGCGCTTTTTTCTGTTTGCGCTTTTTTCTCTTTGCGCTTTTTTCCGTGTGCGCTTTTTTCTCTTTGCGCTTTTTTCCGTTTGCGCTTTTTTCTGTTTGCGCTTTTTTCTGTGTGCGCTTTTTTCTCTTTGCGCTTTTTTCCGTTTGCGCTTTTTTCTCTTTGCGCTTTTTTCTGTGTGCGCTTTTTTCTCTTTGCGCTTTTTTCCGTGTGCGCTTATTTCCGTTGCGCTTTTTGATTTGCGCTTTTTTCCGTTGCGCTTTTTTCCGTTGCGGTTCTTTCTGGGAACCCATCAGTACATGGTCCAAAATGGCAAATGACTTTTGCAATTTCAATTTCAAATACATAACAAATTTTTTTTAAATTGCTGAGCATATATCATAATACTTGCTTTTATTTAATAACATAGTTTGCATTACTTTACTCAAATTTACATTCTTATTGATTCAAATTTACATTCTTATTGATTCATTGCTCTAAGTTTTTTAAAAGGCATTACAGTATTTTCAATTAATAGGAAGTTATATTATTATTTTCATTAAGATTGATTACATATGATTACTTAATAAAAACAATGTCATTATATATTACTTTCAATAGAATAGGAAGCAATAAAGCCTTTAAAATTCCCAGAACCATCAGATGTGAATGTGACGGTCAAAGAATTTCCTGAAGAGGTGACCAGCCCTGGTGCATCAGTACAGTATTGTCCAATCAGATCAGCATTTGTATCCCTGCCATCATACACCTCCAGGTAGTCATAAGGGCAGCCTTCAACTACAAACTCTGTAATGCTGGGAAATAAGTTTGTCAACTTAACTGAAAGATGCTTTTAACTGCTGATCTAATCTTTAAATTTGATTCCCTCACATTAAACCAAATAGCTTCACACAGCATTTATGGTACCAGAAGAGAAGATTAGATTATATTTGGATATTTCAGCTAGAAAATATGTTTCAATTAATAGGTTGTATATATTTACTGAAATAAATCTGTCTCATAATAGATTTAATTCTATAAAATGCAGTTTATTGCCACTGTGCTTACTTTAAAGAAATAATAGCCAGTGAATCATTGGACATGATGGTCCATGTGCAGAACTGGTTACTGGGATAGTTGTCTGGGTAGTTGGAGCTCATGAATTTACTACTGACTTCAGTTAATTGTCTGTTGCAGTCTGGAATAAAACATGTAGCAATGCTTGTTTTAAACAGTGTTAGAAAATGCTACAATAATGGAACCCTATTTAAGTAGAGATCTTGGGCAAATAACTATAAACTAATATAACTCTATCCCTAGAAGCAGGTGGACAATAACCCTAACATTAATTACTGACGCAACACTAAACCTAATTTTGCTATACTACTATCATCTTCTAATGATACACACGTGTAAAGGAATTTCTTACAAAACTTTTTGACTTAAAAATGTATTTATACATAACTAAATACAAATACTTACTTCTAATATTATCAATTCAACTTCACTTTTATATTTGTCTGATAACTATATATAATCTTAAACTATCTTAAAATGTAGATAATTATTCTCACCAGTACAAACATCATTGATTGGGCGTTGTCCATTTAGACAAAGACATTCATAACTGGTCTGTGTACTGACACACATCAGGTTAGCTGGGCAAGGCTTGGACAGACACTTGTCAACATTGACAGAACAGTCAGGTGTCTTGATGCCATCCTTACATACACACTGACTCACACCCTCATCACAGTACCAAGTGTTTTGTGTCACACATCTGTTGGAGCAGTTCTTGGCTGGGGATACAGACAACAGAAATAAGCTAGTATTCCTTTATTTCTACATTTAACAAAAATAAAAGGCATCAAGGAATTCTTAAACTAAGGTGAAAGCTCAGAACATTACCTAAACATGTCTTAGCATCTGTTCTGTTAAGAACAAAACCTTCTCTACAACTACATTCATAGCCACCATCTGTGTTGTTACAGTAATTTTCACATCTACTGGGGTCAGTGCATTCATCAACATCTGGGGATATTATTAAAAGACTTAATTTTGTATTATCACTAAGCTTTATTTTGCTGCTGTATTCTTCATTATAAAATCTGCTTAGTATGAATGATATAAATTTACAGATTTATGTAAATTAAATTTAATTAACTGAGCAAAGATAAATACTTCAACAATACAAATAGAGGTAACAAAAGAAATTTCTCTTTAAATTGTAAAAAAAAATTTTTTAGTGAAATCAGCTCAGAAATCCACTACATTTGAAACTGAAATATTTCAGAGATATATTAAAATCAGTATTCATTCTTCTTCTTCGTTCTTAATTTTTAGTGTTGGAAGGGATCGAGCCTCATCTGCCAGAGGGTATGAATTCTAGACTTTTCAATTTAGCAACCATGAGCTTTACCGACTCGACCACACCGACCCCCAGTTTTCTTTATTATCAATGTATTTCTAAAAAATGTGTGTTCTTTTTTAAATACCTATGCATTTGCCACTGTAGTTTGTGTATCCAGCTGGACAAGGCCCACATACATATCCTATCTCACTGTTTCCTTGTTGGGCTGCTGTCAGGTCAGTGCAGGTCTGGCCTTTGTAACATGGGTTGTCTTTACAGGCATCAAGTTCTGATTCGCAGTTTGTTCCTAAAAGAAAAAGGGAAAACAAATTTCTAGTTGAATGTTAGATAACTTTATTTACATTAATCATCCTTTTTTCACCTAATTATATTTCAGTAGAATGTTTTTAATCTTTTGCTTTAGTTTTAAGGCTCAAAATGTTACTTAATAGAATTGCTCATATAAAACTTTAAAAAATCCATTCTAATGAATTCTTAACCAATATCCACTTTAAGAGTGGGCATATAAAATTCTTATCAGAAAGATTCTTGTAGAAAATGAATAAAACTTTTCTGGATCATTATTTAAAGTGTTAAATTTTAGTAGGCCTACATTATAACTTATTTCTATTGTATAACTTCAGACCTGCATTTTTAAAGATTTTAAACATTAAAACCTACCAGAATATCCAGGCAAGCAGCTACATTTAAAAACTCTGACAAGGCCTCCAAAATATTCTGTCTCTCTGGTGATGTTCCTGTTACACTGACCATGTCCACTACATCTTGGACAAATTGTTATTGGAATGTTCAGTACAGGTGAGTAGCAGTCTTTGGAGTCTTTTACTCTAAGCCTGAAAATAAAAGATGAATCATAAGTTCTTGTAAATATTGTAAATTTTCTTATTGTTCTAATTTTTACATTTTTCTTCAAGCAAATGTCATTACACTTCTTGCATTTCTCATTCAATTACAATTGTCCAAACCAATTGGCGATATACATGATCATTATATTTACACCTACCAGAGTGTGCCTGAATTATTTTTAAGAAAAAAGCTTTGTAAGAACAAGACAGCTGTCAAAGTTTTACCTTATGACATTTAAAAAATAAAAATATTCACTCTGTGTTTTAACATAAATGATGTGTTATGATAATATAAAATGAGTTATTGAAACTAATCAAAATTGGTAGTGAGATCAAAGTAAACAACTCACGCCATATTGACCGGTGTGTTCACTGAAGGAGTGTAAGTCAATGATCCCTTCTGTGTGAGAATTGCAGCAGATGTGCCTTCTACCAACATGTAAGTTACCACATCTGTATCATTGTCAACAGCTTTAAAATTCAGTGTATTGGCAACACCTTCCTGGACCAACCAACGTCCATTCACATAATTTGTGTTTCTCACAACACTCAAAACAGGACATGAATTAGCTGTAAAATAATTGTTTAAAAACTTATTCTTTGGGTGTTAGTTGAAATGCATTATGATTTAGTTTTACATTAAAAACAAAAACAAATGTGTTAAACAAGTTAGTGGCACTATTATTTTTCATTCATTAAAATGCTTTTATATTTTTAGATTATTTTAATTCTAAATTTATTTGTAATTTTATTAAGGCAAGAAATATTTAAAGTTTTTTTTTTTTTAAAACTGAGTTTAATGAATATAAATATTTATCATTTTATATTAAAAAGTTCCCATTATATTTTGTACATCATAATTAAGCTTCTAATAAACAATTATTACCGAGAACTTTCTTCACAGCCAAAGATTGTAAAATTGTGTTGTTTGTGTTGATTGCAAAGTTTAGATCATTGGTGACTATGTAGTCGAAAACACAGGAATCTGACCCATTTTTACAAACGTCTCTCGCTTTTTGCAACTGACTAGCAGTTGCTGAGTCACTGAAAAATGGCACAAAGTCAGGAAACTGGTAATCTAGGGTAGATTTCCCATCTCTGTAGGTGAACACTGAGTTAGCTTGAGTTACTTGATCTAGTAAAATATTAGTAAACATACAATGTTAATTAGCATACATTACTGATTCGTAAAAAAACTCAATTTAATTTATCCACAAAAGACATGTGCAAGTCATTTCCAGTTAATCTGAGCTGATTTTATAAGATATACTCAGGTAAGTTTATATTATTTATTTTGTCAAAATTCAAATGAATTAAGGTATTATTAAATGTAATTTGAAATAATGACAAAGTATTTAAGCTTAAATCAATACAGAATACGTAATCGAACTATTTGTACATTCTGAAAGATAAAACTAAAATAGTTTACATTTATTTGCAAAGTTGTAGAAAATTTCCCTTTCAGTGAGATTGGATCTTAAAATTGTTCCATTTGGTAAAGTGAATTCATCTTTTGTGTTTCCATTAAAGTTGCCCAGTAAGCCTTTTGTTTTGCCTTGAAGTGTTTTTTGTGCTTGCATTTCCAGTTCTAGACTTTTGTACCCCACTCGGAAGGCAAATGACACACCTTAAAAATATAAAAAAAATTCTTGTCAATTTTAAGTCATTTAATATAAACAGAAAAACATTTATAAAGAAAATGTAAGACTTTTTGTTGTAATCTAAGTAAATTAAATAACCATATACCACAAGGAAATACAACAGCCACTTTGGTTTTGTTTCCACTATCATCCCTGAAAACTTCAATAGTTTCGAGAGAAAGCCGGTAGTCTACAGATGTGTAAAAGGTTTCTGTGATATTCTGGCCACCAACATACAGGAACATGGCTGGAAATATTTTTCGTAGATAAAAACATAATTTCAAAAACTTACGATTTTTTCCTAATTTTTAACAAACTTTAATTGTCTATCAAATTACGCTACGAGCACCAATTTTTTAGCATTAAATCCAGTCAATTATTATAACATATGATGTAATGATATTAGCTACAAAATTCACATACATGTTTTACTGGCTGCAAGTTCCACTTGGAAATGTGAAATTTCCTTTTCCTTAGCAGCAAAAGCTGTGAAGACAGTTGCGTTTGTTAAAGTTCCATTGCTTGTTTCTGCTCTGTCTGTTCTGGCCTGAAAATGCAAAAAAGATTACTAGATTCTAAAATGGATGACCAAAAATAGAGGCCTAATATTATAGTATTTTGTATTATTTTACAAGTATTACAAGATTTAAGCCAAACGAATTTAAAATTGTGAGGTATAAATGACAACACATTTCTAGAGTGGGTTCTAACAGCTGGTTTAGAAAGTGACTCATGTTAGTAAAAGTAAAGACAGCTGGTGATTTTAACTAACCAGACTATCCCTTTATATGTGTGGGTCTCAAAAACAGATGAACCCTACTTCATCAAAGGGCAATCAAGTCTTATTGGGTAATTTAATTAGAATGTGTGACATTTAAAAAAAATTAAACTAAATTTCCAGTTATTTTACATTTTCTAAATTGATAATTGAATGTTATATTCTGCCTGGATTAGCTAAAGGTATTTAGTATTAAGCCTTAAATAATACACCTAACTAGCAAAGTTTTCCACTTAAATGCCATGGCTGGTAAACTTTCAACAGTAGGATAATTAATTATTTTCTGTGTAAGTGTGAAAGGAAATATCAGCTCTACTGATACTTATAAAAATAAAATATCGCAAAGGGTAGAATTAAAGTGTAACATTGTGAATGATATAGGCTACACCCATAGCATTATTTAAACATTTGAGGTTTAATTTTTTATAGCCTTAAAATTTTGTGAATGTAATAGTTAATAGAATAAAACAAAAAACTAGTGCAGCCACCTGTAGTGTAAAGTTCTCAGATTGGACATCCATCATAGTGTATTCACCTCTGCCATTAAACAAGTATGTCACGTTATCCAACGTCACAATGGTTGGGTCTCCAAGCATCCAAGCTGGAACACAAAATAACATTTGAAAATTATAACTGAACCTGTTTTCCTTACAAATATGTAATTTATTGAGGATAAGTACATTGTGAAAATATTTTTTAAAAACAAACTTAATAATATGAGGCTTGCTGCAGATATACACTGCTTAGTAAATTACATAGATGTTAGCTTTATGTAAAATAATGTTTTGAGTGTTGAGAAGCAGTTTTACTTGTAAATATATTGGTATTTTTGTTTCAGTAGAAAATCTAAGAAAATCCTCAAAGCATTATGAAAATCTAACACCACTTTGAAAATATACCTGGAACAAAGGTGACATCATACGAGCATTCGTTGTCTGGGTACAAGAGATTATATCTGTCACACAGTTTACCCACGTTCCCATCCTTACAACAAGACCTCTGAGCCTCAAGACTTTCATTAGCAGCCAGTGACCACCAAGGATCACCTACAAGAACATGACCAGCATCAGGTGTGTTGTGAATGAATGAGGCCTGTTGTCTTGATTCAGCCCACTTCATCCAATCACTGGTTACTGATGGTTGAGTCCATTTGTAGCAGCATAACTAGTTGTTTTTTTTAAAGTAATGAAACAAAATATAGTCATGTTATAATACATTACATTACTGTTCAAGTATTTTATTACTGGATTGCTTTTGTTTAGATTGTTAGAAAATGGTATTTCCTAAAATTAGACATGTTATGTCACTAGTTGTTGGGCCTATCATGATATATGTTTTGTGTAAAAATTTTAAACTTATTGAGGAAAACATTAACCTTGAAATTTTGGGTCATACATTACTGTTGTTTTTTTCTCCTTTTTAACCAAACTTCTTAATTCCACCATCAAATACATAGTCTCACCCCAACTTCAAAACAAACAAAATATCACCACAAAATTAAGCCCCCCGTCCCAATAAACAATGAAGTAATCTCATATTGCTCACATATTTTTCAGTTTAAAATTATTAATAAAATACTTGAAAACATTTTTTTAATTGTTCAAATCTCCAATACTACCAGGTCATGATTGAAAATGTAAAACCTTAATATTCAGTCCTTAATTTTTACTCTAACAAATTGACTTCCGGAATTGAAAATAATTATTTTCTCTAATTAAATTGACGTAGAATTATCCAATAATTTTTAAAATAATTATTCAATATTAAAAATCTATTTTCTTTTAATGTCACACTTTCCAAACATTTCATGCCTATTTTGCATGTTACATTTTTTCACCTTATTTCTTGGGTTATTCTGAAGTATCCTCCTTTTAGCCACTGGACTAATTACAAAGCAGAAAATATCTTTTAGGGCTCCACGTTTTTCATACAAGCTCCACTGTAACCCTAATAAGTCAAGAGTACAGGGACATGTGTAGAGTTGACTGATCTGGTTTCTGTAGTCTGCATTTGTAATAAGCTGTGAATTCTTACACACATGTTTTTCACATTTCTGTTCAGGTCCTGATATTTTTCCAATTTGATAAGTGATGATCTCATTGTAGTCTAGAAACAGTTTAAACTGAGTTATATAACAGTAACTAAACTTTCTCACCATTTTCCTAATAGTATTTTACAGAAATTAAGAAATTTAAAATTGTTTAGAACAGCCTTTAACTTATATATCATGATAATGTGAAAACAGATAAATAATAAATATCACTTCATATGAATTAAATACAAATTTAAGTTCATGTTAAATTTGTTAGTTTATCTTTTAAAAACAGTGTTCTGTTAAGCATTGTTACTAATCATCAATTTTAAATTTAGTTCCATGCTTTAATGCTCCTTTTATAAAAACAATACTTTCTGCAAAACAGAATATATTAAACAGATATATTAATATCTTGTAACACTAGAGCACTACGCAACCTAGTTAAATGTGCATAATAATGTAGCATGTATTTAGCTACCACAGAGTAATGTAAATATTGCTGCATTCTTTTTCTTCCACATTAATTTATAATACTATTAACATAAAATATATATATTAAAATATTGTTATGGTAAATTGTTATTACAGTTATTTTTGTAACAGCCCTTACTTTTATTTTTAATCCAGTCAAATGTAGTCTGGCTGACTTGTATTTTATTAGCATATGGACTAGCTGAAATGCCAATAGTTGTGTCACTGTTTTTCAAAGCAATTATGTTCATTTCACCTTTGGGATACAAGAAATAAACATAGGCTGTTTCTTCATCTGAAAAAAATAAATCAAAATAAACAATTACCTTTGAACTAATATCATAACACTTGCCTCAAATATGCAGGGATTATCTTTATTATGTAAGTTTTAAAGAAAGAGAACATAGAAATGCCATTTTAAACTTGTTATTTAAAAATTATAAATTAGTATGCACAAATTGAAATGATCTGTTTTTACTTACCTATAAAATCCTGATCACCTATAGATTCCTTTCGGTATCCACTAATGTATACTGCTTGGAATGTACCAGTAGGGGGGTTGGTCTAGAAATTTAGTAAAGTTATTTTTTTTTGGAATACAACATTATCTAAAACAAAATTAAACAGACTAAAAGTACCTGTTGTAAGCAAAAATGCAATGATGTCTATAAAATATTTAATCAATTATCTATAAAGCTTTTAGGATTTACACAGCTTAAACCAATAAAGGAACACACATATTTTGAGATTATATTTTTGCAAGTGAATAAACGTTTAAAACATACATTCTTTAAAAGTTATATGTAGAAATTGAGTACTTGCTTTAATAACACTTGATAATATTTGCACATTTTTCCAAGTGGCAACCAGCACAGTTTTAACTTTAAAGTCATAGAAGCGATAAGTGTTTCTGACATCTTGAGCTGCCCTTTCCATTACTTTAGCTTTGGCAGGCGATGACGTCACTGTGGCACTTTCATAGAAAACTGTAGGTTCACAGCTCTCATACAGATGGTAGAAAACCTCTCCTTTTGTTGGGTCCAATGTTGCCCAGTACGGGGCTATTATTTTAAATCCATTTTGTACTGCAAGATCATATGTACCACTGATCACATTTCCTCCAAATCTGATAACTCCATCACTAAAGACCTGGAAATTTAACAAATGTCATTATTCATACAGCTTGAACTTTAAAAACTTAAAAAGAATTAATTTGTTTAGTTAAATTTAATGAAATGCATTATAATAATGAATTTCAAACTTACATATGCCTCATTTTCAGTGGTATAACCAACTGGTACTTTAGTAGCAAACACAATAGGTTTGCTGACATACTTGCTGCTGCCAGAAGTTTTGATAAGACCAGAGTCGCCTTTATCAGCCCCATATGGATACAGGGTCACTAAAGTTAACAAAATAAGTTGACGCAATTACTTCAACATCATCAACCAAAATATTTATTTGAAACATCTACCCAAAATTTAAAAAAATATATAAAATATGGTTAGAGAATAAAAGGTTTACTTACCAGCACACTGGTTTTCTACTGCTCCTATTTCCATGTTTTCAGGGCAGGTACAAATTAAAACTCCAGACGTGTTTCGATAACAAAAGTGGGAGCATGTTTTATTCTTTGCTGTTACACAGTTCAGAGTGTTGCCTAGTAAATTATATAAAAAAATATGTATATATATATATATATATATATATATATATATATATATATAGAGAGAGAGAGAGAGAGAGAGAGAGAGGGATATATATTATATGTTACATATATACAGAGACGTAGCGACCCTTCCTGGCGCCTGGGGACAAACTTTCAATTTGGCGCCCCCCTCGGGTGCAAATTTTCGATTTCCACCCCCCTCAACTTTTTTATCTGTTCCCCCCCCCCCCCCAAACTTTCGATTTGCACCCCACCCCCTCAAACTGCAAAAATGTAGCTAAAATGACATTTTAATTTGTTTTTACAACCCATTTTGGCATCTACTAAGGTCAGCGCCCACGGACATATGTCCCTGCCCCCCCCCCATCACTATGCCTCTGCATATATACATACATATATACCTACATATATAGAAAACATATACAAATACAGGTTATCAGTTTGGTTTTTTTATTTCTAGAAACTAATCAACATCTTGAATTATAAATCAGTTACTTTGTTCTTTGTTAGCTTTTTATTAATTCTACTTGTATCTTAATAGGTATGATTACATTTATTTAGTGGAAACGATTTATTATTCTTAAAAATTTAGATTAGTATTTAAAAAATTTCTTAATTTGTTCCTAAATTTTAGTTTTGCTTTGCAATTAAATAAAGCAAGCTGTTCAAAACACACAAAGGTTTATAATAGAAAATGTCATTTTTAAAATCCTTTATATTTCTAATAAGTTCTAATACAAATGTAACTAATATTCATATATATATATATATATATATATATATATATATATATATATATATATATATATATATATATATATATATATATATATATATATATATATATATATATATATATATATATATATATATATATATATATATATATATATATATATATGAAATCAAAATAATACACATATACATATGATTTTTTTTTAATTTATATACACCTGTAGCAGATAAGTTAGCACAATACAAAAATGTATATATTAATTATTTTAAAAATCATAGAGGAAAATCTGACAAACCTTCACATTGACCAGTTGCTGTCCTACTAAATCCAAGCTGACATTCACATGAATAATTCCCTGGTGTGTTCTTGCAAACTTCGTTAGTTGGACAGGTGATGTAGTTGCACTCATTAACATCTTCAGAGCAGGTGTCACCTGTCCACCCAGGCTTGCACACACAAACACCATTGGTGTTGTCGCAGAATCGTGTTTTAGACAGATCACATGTGCAAGTGAACTGACAGGTTGGACCATATGTGAAATCATTGCATGCTGAAATTCAATTTGTTATAATATAAGATACTTATCTAATATTTTACAACATTTTAAATTATCCATTAGGAATAAAGCTGAAAAATTAATTTAATTATGCAGAATTATGTTGATCATCTATACCTCGTTTGCTCAGCAATAAACTTTTTCTGAATAAATTGTAAATCTTTATTTATTTTCTGGTTACATTTAAAATCCTTTAATATTTCAATCCCATAAAGAAATTTTCAATACTTTTAAATGTACCATTTCTCATGTTAGATAAAAATTTAATCATTGAAAGGCACTCAAAAATATTAAGCTTACATACAGTGTGTATAGTAAACACCAGTAAATCCTCTTCTGCTCCAGTATTCATATGCTTCTGTTTTGAGCTGAATCTCCATTACGTTACCACTGGTCCTTATCAAAGGTGGTATTCTAGTTCCACAGTATCTGCCTATTTGTGTGCTCATTGTATTTCCAACACTAAAGATGTTTAGTGAATCCCAGCTACATTGTCTTTCTTCAACCAACTGAAAGTCTTGGCTTTTAATGCTGTATGTTTATAGTGAAACAGCAGGATAGAAATACACTATAAATTTTACAATTTTCATTTCAAAAATATCTATTTACATTATGTTTAATGCCAATACAGAGGTTTAAAACTTATTTCCTATTATGGCCATAATTATTATGGGTCTCTAGAATGCCATAGCTGTTCTAATATATATTTTCAAATAGACTTAATTTTGGCCCTATTAAATATTTGGTCTGATATGTTGGCCTACTTAGCTTTTTGAAAATAAAACACCTCTAATTTTAAAAATAACTGGATGTGGTATGTATGCTAAGTATGTGTGAGCATGCATGTCTGTGTGTTTGGTGTGTGTGTTGTTATGATAGATTATAAATATCTATCATGGTGTCTCCACCTCTCCCCCCTTCTTGCTACCCCACAGGTAACGGTACACACCTGGACCTGAGTCCGGCGGTATTGTAAGGCTGACCGGGCCTCGACCTCAGACTGCGGTCGTGAGGGCGGAGCCTGAGTCATGTGACCTGTAGGGTAGGGACGCTACAGTCCGGTCACTCTACCTTCTCCCCTCTTCGGAGGTACACGTTTATTTTGGTGCTTAGGCACTAGCCATTATTACATTATAATTATTTTGGTGCTACGGCACTTGTTCTCCTCGGAGAAATTAAACGTACGTTTGGCAACGTGTGTAGAGGATTGTGTGGCTTCTTTGGAAGGTAATTAACTCTTACTTTTATTAGCTGTACTGTTTTAATATTAATTAATAAGTATGAAATGAGTATAAAACAATGTATGAATGAAAAGCCTATTTTCTAGTAATGTTATTATAGGCCTTATGTAAGGCTAATGTAAATGTATTATCTTGGTAACAATTGTAAACTTGTATGTGTCTGAATGAATGTGTATATCACACATATGTTAGGAAGTTGTCACATGTATTTTACAGCCGGCCAGCTTGGGGCTAAAACTTAGTACAGAGGTCTGTGTGTGAGGAAGTGTGACCACGCCGCCCTGGAGACCAGTCGCCCCTTCCAGGCTACTTTAAATTGTATCGTTATTACTTTGCCAATAATTAATGTATTAATAAAAGTTAAAGGATTGGAAACTGATTTAATTATTCAATCATAATTTTAACCCTTTTCACTGAGCCAAATATCGGCAATCAGTTAATAATAATAATACAACTCAATATTACTATTAAGGGACCTCTTGTCCAACGAGACAAACCCTAGACTAACAGGTCATTCTGTAGCTGCGGCTATATTTATTTATGTGCGGTATGACTCGCTAGAGCATATTTGCCACATTGGGGGCTCGTATCAAAGCTAGATTTTTTTTTAAATATATATAAATACTGGTACATTTTTATCATATATATATAATTATATATATAAAGGTAGAATTTAATTTTAATTTAATTTTGTTACTTTTTATGCCACAATTAGAATTACAATTGTACATCCTTTACTAGTAATTACTTATAGTTTTCAGATTGTTAAAGTCAAAGTTAGACCTAGCTCTACCCACCCTTGATACCACCCAGCTAACTTCCCAGGGTGACTCAGAGCGACCACTGCAGTTTCGGTAAGTGTCTCTTGTTCAGGCAAGTTCAGCTACTGTCAGTGCTCTACATTATTTTTTTTTTTAAATACAGCTAACACTAGTTGGGTACCCTGATCAGTGACCACCCTACCATTCCCCCTGTACAAAGGTATCCTACTCTTGACCTAAAGTTGACCGGACGCCATGGCATCCTACCAGGCTACGCAGCGGTCACAGCTAGAGATAAAGCGGGAGGGGGAGGCGTTAGGTTACGCGGGGACAAAGCTGTTAAAATGGGTCAGGGATGAGGTGGACGCGGAACGGGCTAGGATAGACAGGGAACGAGAATTTAAGCAAGCAGAGTGGGCTAGGGACAAGGAAAAAGAGGAGCGTCAAATTCAGCTGTTAGAGTTGGAAATTAAACGAATAGAGTTAGCGAATCGTAGCAACGAGTATGTGGGGAAGGGGGAGGAGCAAATAGGTGTCGGATCATCGAAGGTAACACTACCAAAGTTTGATGGGGTGGCCGATCACCTAGACTTTTTTCTCCTTCGTTTTGAAGAAGAGGCTAGGCAAAACAGATGGAGGCAAGACTGCTGGAGTAATGAGCTCCGCAAATTAATGCCGGCAGAACTATTGCCAGTGTGCTTTATGGGACACAGAGCGGAAGCAAAAGCTTCCTACGAGGAGGTAAAAACTGCTCTATGTCGTCACTTTCATCTGACAGCACAGGGATATAGGCAAAAGTTTTACACCGTATCACCTGAGGCTAATGAGTCTATTGTTGCTTATAGCAACAGAGCAAAACATTACCTTACTCGGTGGGTAGACTTGTCAAAAATCGACAAGTCATTTGAAGCCCTCCGTGATTTGATGGTGGTAGATAAACTACTACACACTGTCAACGAGGACGTGGTCAATTTCATCACTGAGAGAAATGACCTAAATCTGGACTCGGTATTAACCCAAGCCGACAATTACATGATAGCGCATCCAGATAAAAACCTAGCACGTAAAAAGCATATAACTAAACCAATAGCGCACGTAGGCCTCGATGACAAAGTTAACAATCAGCCCAAGTCTTGCGCTTTCTGTTTTAAAAGGGGACACAACACGGACGATTGTTTCCACCTGAAGCGTTACACGAGTGAGAATGCCGGGTCACGGAGCGAGGGTCACAATGACCGCCAGCAATACTCGGGTCCGGTCAGAAATAACGCCTACCCCGCAGCTGCTGTCAGCAGGGGAAGGGGAGGCTATGGTAGCGCAGCGGTGGGCCAGGTTAGCACTGGCAACCCTTTTGTTAGCCATCAGGCAGAAGGACAGCTATTGGCAATGTCGGACAAAGATATAATAGGTGACAGAAAGCATTTTGATCAAAGAAGGGATCCTCAGTTAGGTCTTGCATGTTTCGAGGGGGACATAGCATCTAAGAGAGGAAATATAGTTGATGGTGAAGTTAATGGGGAAAAGGTTAAGGTATTAAGAGATACCGGGTGTAGTATTATTGGATGCAGGGAATCGTTGAGTAATGGACAAAACAATAACGACACCGTTACTTGTACTTTATTTGATGGTAGAAAAGTGGTTTATAAAGTGGGATGGATTAGAATCAAATCTCCATATTTTACCGGGTGCACTAAAGCGGCGCTCCTGAAAGACCCGCCCGTGGACTTAATAATTGGTAGCGTGAGTGGGGCGACGATGGGTGATAACCTAGACGTAGCAGCCGCCCTCGTCACAAAGGCACAAACTAAGAAAGTAACAAAAAAGAATGACATTACAAGATTCATCGCTGAATTTGACGTGACTGTCGAACAGTTCAAACAAATGCAGACAAAAGACGAAACGTTAGCTAAGACTAAATTATTCGCTCAGACTAAACTGGACCAGCACGGACCCTCTCACTTTTATTTTAACAGCGATGGACTGTTGATGAGACGATACACCGACGGACAGGGCGTCGCGTGGGATCAATTGGCTGTACCTAAACCGCTGCGGCAGGTGGTACTTGACCTGACCCACAGCAACAAGCGGTCAGCTCATGTGGGCGTGGCCAAAATGAAAGCTCGAATCTTAGAGCATTTTTGGTGGCCTGGCTTATCAAAGTCAGTATCCTACCATTACAAGACATGCAATGTTGGTCAAACACACAAGAAAACTAAGGTGGGCGCAATCACTGACCACAAAAATAAATCGCAAAATAATCATAAACACTGGGACTCATTTAGAGACAGAGTAAAAACCAATGCAATAAAACTAAAAGCTACAGCTAATACTTATGCTCCAAAGAAAAGACATATTGCTCCAATGATAAATAACATTGTGTATGACGGTTATAAAAATTATAACAAAGCCTATAGGCCACCTTACTAAAAACAAGAATAGCCTGACAATCAATTCTGAACCAATGCCTGTAACAAAAGACTTACAGAAATGTAGGTGGTCAGAACGGTCACAATACGACGCTAGGTAGACAATTCTATATAAATGTATATTTACATAAAATGCATTTGTTATCGTGTTTTATTTCAGTTGATAAATTACATGTTTAGTTAACATGATGAATGTATACTTATTTTACATGTCTTTGCATTTGTTTCATAGAGCACCCACTTTCAATGTAGGGTCTACTATGCACAGCTATTCAATTGAATGTACCAAGTAAACACTTTTAAATATAGTTATACTACTCATCATTTCTTTTGGACATAGGTGTCATTACATTTATGATAGTCCTACTTATATATGTAGTTAAAATTGCTTACTTTTAGCGGTGTAAACGCTTTTGATTTCCTTGATTTTTATGTAATACAGTTGTATAATGTGATCGTACTGTAACCTTTTATTTTACACAATGACAAAATGTATGGTATGTAAGGATTTAATATGAAAAGTGTGTTTAGGTTGCGCTAAAGGTGTGCTTTCAGCAAACCATTATCGCGGGGAGGGGGATGTTATGATAGATTATAAATATCTATCATGGTGTCTCCACCTCTCCCCCCTTCTTGCTACCCCACAGGTAACGGTACACACCTGGACCTGAGTCCGGCGGTATTGTAAGGCTGACCTCAGACTGCGGTCGTGAGGGCGGAGCCTGAGTCATGTGACCTGTAGGGTAGGGACCAGTGTTTCTTCCAGACTTTTTTCTCCGGGGGGGCACTTGAAATCTTCGGGGGGGCGGTAAACTTTCTTCGGGGGGGCGGACACTGTTAAAAGTATATATTTTCTATATAAATTATATAAATTTCATTTCGTTCGGGGGGGCGGTAAAAAATTTTCGGGGGGGCGAAGCCCCCCCGAAGAGATGCCTGGAAGAAACTCTGGTAGGGACGCTACAGTCCGGTCACTCTACCTTCTCCCCTCTTCGGAGGTACACGTTTATTTTGGTGCTTAGGCACTAGCCATTATTACATTATAATTATTTTGGTGCTACGGCACTTGTTCTCCTCGGAGAAATTAAACGTACGTTTGGCAACGTGTGTAGAGGATTGTGTGGCTTCTTTGGAAGGTAATTAACTCTTACTTTTATTAGCTGTACTGTTTTAATATTAATTAATAAGTATGAAATGAGTATAAAACAATGTATGAATGAAAAGCCTATTTTCTAGTAATGTTATTATAGGCCTTATGTAAGGCTAATGTAAATGTATTATCTTGGTAACAATTGTAAACTTGTATGTGTCTGAATGAATGTGTATATCACACATATGTTAGGAAGTTGTCACATGTATTTTACAGCCGGCTAGCTTGGGGCTGAAACTTAGACGCTACAGAGGTCGGTGTGTGAGCAAGCGTGACCACGCCGCCCTGAAGACCAGTCGCCCTTCCAGGCTACTCCAAGTTGTATTAGTACTACTATACCAATAATTCATGTATTAAAACTTAAATGATTGTAAAATTGAGTTACTTACTTAGTCATAATTTTAAACATTTTCACTGAGCCAAATATCGGCAGTCAGTCAACAATAATAACCTAACATTAATAAACGCACAACACTAATTATTAAGGGACCTCTTGTCCAACGAGACAAACCCTAGACTAAACAAGTCATTCTGTAGCTGCGGCTATATTTATTTATGTGCGGTATGACTCGCTAGAGCATATTTGCCACATGTGTGTGTGTGTCTAAGTTTATGTAAGAATTACCTTTTTAAACTCTAACAATGTGTATTTGATTACCTGAGTGTAACAACTTGACCTGCTGACCCCTGTATTCTCCATTTACATAAAGCTCTTCTCAGGTGATAATTTGGGTAACCAATGGTAGAAATACTTCCAGACACAGAAGTCAGGTTGCTGTCACAATCTGCATAAAAATTCCAAAGGAGTTGATACAAAATGTATAAATACTGAAATTTTATCAAAGATGTTTTTACAATTTAGTAAATTAGTTATATCCTGCATTTAAGTATAAACATGACCATTGCTGTTTCAGTACAAGTCAACAATTTTTTTATCAAGCTATGCATTTCATGAAATCAACACCCAAATCCATAAAATGCGAAATATGTAACATAATGTAAGAAAAAATTAGTACAAACCAGGAATGCATCTAAAACTTCCTATAGTGTTCACACATTTTTCAGTGAGATAGCAGGGATTACTCAGACATTCATTGACATCATCAGCACATGTAGCTGATTGCCACCCAGGATAGCAGGTACATGACCCGTTAAAACTGTCACAATATTGTGTGTTGTTCTTGACACAGTTGCATGGTGTGGTACATCTTTCTTCACCATAGTAAAATGGAAGGCATCCTGTAAGTAACAAAAAAAATTGTTTCTTTAACATAGAAAACATTGTTTTTTAATTATCATAACTCACTAAATAGTACATGATGAATAAGTCTATTAGTCAAAAAGAAATCTAAATTATAAATAAACATTTTAAAAAATATATGAATCAGACATTTTTATTCATAACGTTTATCCTACACACTGTAAAATAAAATTGTGAAGTTATAAAACATATTTTGCACAATGAAATGGCCTTAAATAGTGCTGAACAATCTAGCATTTCAACATTTAAACTATAACTTTCACTTGTTATTGGATGTAATGTAATGATGGTAAATATGTTTTATTGGGAATCTATCAGAAGGTATCTTTAAGTGCAATTGAAAACAGGAATGTTTAAAGTAAATAGACGCACAATATTAGTAAATGTAACCTACTCAGGAAAGTAGCATTGAAACCTCTGCCTGCTACAGATCCATCTGACTCAAATAAAACGTATAATGTATTGTCTGCTGATGTTATTGCTGGTGGAATGGGTACCCCATAAAGTAGTCCATAGATTCCTAAAACAGCATTCCTTGGATTGTAAACTTGCAAAAATGATTTGCCTTGTGTATCCAATAAGAAATCTGTAAATCTACCAAAAAATATATATTTGATCAAAATGTGTAGGCTATACAAATCAAATATATAATTACCGGGTAAAAAAAAATATGCATTAAAATACTTAAAAATTATTTATTAATTTTTTAAAATTTAAAATATGGATAAAGACTCTATAACTCATTTCTTGCATTAAGCATCAAGAGACGCAGAACTGCCTAACTTATGAAAATTAGTGAATTTAAATGTTTCCTTATTCTATTGATAACAAATATATAAAGACTGTTTAAAACAGCAGTTTATACCACTATTGATTCTGATAGATACAATTTATCATTAGTGAGGTAGGATTGTTAGGTTTATGTAGGTCCTCACTAAGTGTCACTTAATGTATATGAAATTTAAATGTGTTTACTTTCATATTCTTTGTTGACTACAATGTTTTTTTCTAATTAGCATTTATTAGTCATTATCGTTTCATAATTAGAAGTAATAATACATATTAATCATGTGAAAAACATCTATTAAAAAAAACGGCCACAGGAATCAAACTATTCTTGTTACCTTAAAGAAACGTTGTATCCAACAGGTGCATGAATCGCCCAATAGCAGACAGTGTTGTTGATATATGTTGGGTAGCCAGGATTTTTAAGGATTTGCTTCTCGTCAGTTGCGTTGATGCTTTGTTTGCACCCACTGGCAAAATCTGCAATAGAACATAAGTCTAGCTTAACCCTCAGAGTATTGAACCATTTTAGTCTGATATTTTAGCTGGATTGTTCTTTTAAAACACATTCATACTTTATTGATAAAAAAGGCAAAATGTAATTATAATAAACCAGAAACATCAGAACGCATAATTATGATTTAGGAGTAAATTTAAAAAAGGATATAGCAAGTTTCCTATGATTTTTTGCATGAATTATGTCACTCTTTCAGGGAAAAGAGTATTTGGACTTATGAGTGATGAAGTCACAGTTTTACACTTTGAATAGCTGCTGTTATTTACAATTTTTAAAGATATTTTTGCAAATTGTAATAAAAGCTGATCAATATTTATAATCTAGCCATTCTATATTTGCGGGCCTACTGTTTAAGATAGAAACTCCTGTTATTTCAAAGAAAATTTGGAAATATGTCATTTTTTTTATACTTTGGGGGTATCTTATTTTTTTAGACAATGTTTAGGAGAGAAGTGAATATGTCAAAAAGCTATGTTGTACCATACGAGCAACCCCTTAAAATGTTTATATTTTAATTAAGCAGAGTTCAGTTGTAACTGAATCACTCAGTTCATTACTTTTTTGTATAAAAGCAACTTCAACATATAAATCTTTGCGTAATTACATTGTTATTTAGATAAAATATAAAATTATTACCATTGGTTGTATAAGTCCCATTAAATCTTCCATGTAAGCGGATAGTTGAATTAAATTTAATATGCATAGTGTTCCCAGTAGATCTTATCAATTTGTTATCAACACTAGAATGATAGCTGCCCAATAGGAAAGAATCTGCATTAGGGCCATCAAAAATGTGAACAAAACTGTAAAAATCTTGAGCATAGAATTGGGAAAACCTGAGGATTGAAAATAAAAAATTGTAAGAATGTTAAGGAAATAAAATACAAAATTACACTTTTCAAGATTTTTATAATCATAAACATTCTGAAATAAATTTAGATTTATCTGTATTTTAAGGTTAATGGAGATTCACATGACACAAGTTGAAAAGTGGGCCTACAGAAGTTTAACATGCAATGAACACACAAAACTCAATTGAACTATTTGGAATCATTGTTACACTACTATCAAGGTAATCACACTGCAAGACATATAGACACATTGGCTAATTATTGTGGTAGACAATATGCATTAGCTTTTT